AGCCAGGCGCCTGCGCACTTGGGCGCGGGGCCCCCGGGGGGTAGGGCGAGCCCCGCGCTCTCGCTAAAAGTAGAAGAAACGTGGAGGGGCGGGGCCAGAGTCCCCGGAGTTCTTCTCTGTGGGCCTCTAGGGGGCCACTGCAGGGGCAGCTATTTGAGATATAATTCACATCCCATAAAATAAAATTCGCTCTTTAAACATGTAAACTAGGGCTTTAATGCATTCGTAAATTTGCGCAACCATGGCCACTACCTAATTTAGAATGTTTTAAAATATATATATTTGTATTGATTTCAGAGAGTAAGGGAGAGGGATAGAAACATCAATGGTGAGAATCATTGATCGGCTGCCTCCTGCACGCCCTCTACTGGGGATCGAGCCCGCAACCGGGCATGTGCCCTTGACTGGAATTGAACCCACGACCCAATCCAATTCAGTCTGCAGGCCGACGCTCTATCCACTGAGCAAACCAGCTAGGGCTGGAACACTTTTATCACCCCCAAAAGAAACCTCTAGCTCAGCCCGCGTGGCTTAGTGGTTGCGTGTCTACCTGTGAACCAGGAGGTCACAGTTCGATGCCTGGTCAGGGCATGTGCTCCTATTGCCTGCACGATCCCCAGTGTGGGGGCTGCTGTAGGCAATCAATGATTCTCATCATTGATGTTTCTATCTCTTTCTCCCTCTCTTTTCCTCTCTGAAATCAATAAAAAAAATATATATTTTTGAAAAATAAAAAGAAACCCTTACCCTTTAGTAGTCACTCTCCTGTTCCCCTGCCCCCAAACCCCTGGCAACCACCAATCTATATTGTGTCTCTATGGATTTATCTATGCTGGGTATTTCCTATGAATGGAATCATACAATATGTGAACTGCGTATAGTGACTTTCACTTAACCCGTTTTCGAGGTTAATCCCCATTGCGGCATGTATCAGTCCTTCATTCCTTGTTTTTCTTTTTGCTGCAAAAAGCTTTATTGTTTCATTTGGTCCAGTGCATGGGAGAGGGCTTCAGGTGGTTAAAAGAATGGCCGGGGCTCCGGGGAGAGGCGCAGGGAAAGCCAGGCACCAGGGGAGGCAGAGGGGCCCCTCGCCGGCCTCCGGGCTCCAGAGGCTCCCGGTCGAGCTGGAGGGGGAGCCTTTGGAAGAGACACTGACCCGGCCCGGCCCGGGGCCGCAGGTGGCGGAGGGGAGGCAGGTGGGGCCCGTCTTCTTGATGAGCTTCGCCTCCTCCCCCGGAAGCGGTTCTGCAGGAGTCAGAGCTGAGGGTCTGCGGGGAGGACGCGGGGCCTGCAGGCCCAGAAGGGCCGGGCTCAGGCTCCTCTCCGAGGCCGGGG